AGAAAGTTTACAATATTGAAGGAATCAGATAAAATAGTTACATCAGAATTACAATTATTAGAAATCATAATTTGTTAAATTTTACAAGGCTCAGAAGAATATCAATCAGTAGGATGCAACGAACTCCAATGGTAAATTGTTTGGTATTAATTAATAAGATAAAACAAAAACTTTCTATTGAAAACAACAAAAAAGCAGTTTAAATGGTCTCAACAAGATAGATGGTTCGAATACTTTTTTTTTAAAATATTTTTTGATTCTATATTAGGTTTATCAGAAATTATTGCAAACGCAAATTTTATCCATATCTTCTCTGAAAATGAAGTATTTTTGTACTGAATTGAGGGTCATCAGTAGAAGCGAGGTTACGTTATGTATACTTATTATAGAACTCGATTATTCAGAGATGCCTGAATATTACAATCGAATACTTCACATCTTAGTCCTATTGCTGAGGATGGGATATAACCAGTGCTTAATGGAATATAATAAATGCTGGCGATTACCAGTGGCGCATCCAGGAATTTTCTCAGATGGGGGGCGCACCTCTGTATCACGTGCTTCCCCCATCTCTACCCATTCCCCCACCACTTCCCATTTCCCCCACTCCTAAGCTGAGTTTAGCCGCTCAAAAGTCCTCTTTAAATCGTTTTAACAAAAGCAAACTCTATTTTTATTTAGAGTAAATTTTGACTTGTTTTCAGCGAAGCTATCATTAATTACTTAAAATATTTTTTTATTACTTTCTATTTAACAAAAAATGTGCTACATAAAAAATCATAAAACTTTAATTCCCCCTACTTTCCTGCTAAAAATCGAACCATTGTTTATATAAACTTTTTTTGTATTTAGTGAGTTTAGCTATCACTCCTTTAAATATTTTCCTCTACTTACGAGACACCCTCTATATGGGTTTAGACATGTAAAAAACTGAATTGCTGACACGGGTCGCCAAGAGAAAACTTTTTAGAGCCGAAAATTCCAGATTTATCTGATCATTTTTTTTTTTTTCATGTATTACCACTAAACAGTGCATCAAAGCGAAAAACGTCTTCTTTAAGAAATTAAAAAACGTCAAATTGTGCTTTGAACGAGAACCTAAACTTAATAATTTGATTAAGTGATATGGTCGATAACCACGATTAATGAACGATAATTTTTACAAATATTATCAAAATCTGAGAAAGATTACTGTAAATGGCACTGCAGCTTGGAAATGGATTCTCTAAGAAAAAAAAAACTCAGAATAATTTCAAATAATAATTTGAAATAATGAAAACGTTCCCAACAACAGCTCTTTTAATAAAAGAACAACACATTCTAATGAAAAATACACAAATTATTATCGTGACCAGTTTTATGATTCCCATGGATTCTTCAAGGAGATTATAGTTGCTGAAGGTTGCAATGCGTTGAGATCTATTGAAACTGAGAAAAAACTGGGTCCGGAAGAAAATTCGTATTCCGAATAAATGTAGTTTTTTTTTTTTTTTAATAAATTTTCCTCCATCATGTATTTCACCTGCGATACTCAGTTCGTAGTCTTTTCATTAGTTAATTCGTGCATTAGGATGAATTTTCCCTATATCTCTTTCCTTTAAATTGTTGTTTTTTCGGATTTTTTTCCACCATCCAGGGGGGGAGGGCGCCCCCTGCCTTGATCCGCTAGTGGCGATTACTACACTATATTAGTAATTAATTATTGTCAATTACTACCCGATTTCAGATAAGGTTTGCCTAGCCGAATAATTTTCAATAGTAGGAAAAATAGAGCAATTTCGAGTAAAATGTTTTAATTATGTTATCTGTGGAACACCAATGTAGCATTGGGGCTCTGCAGACTTAGAAGAACGTGATTGTACTAATTGGTTAATCATTGTATCAATACTGCCATTTGCTTAATAAGAAATAAAGATAGATATCTGATGATATTGGATCAGGCTGCCTCTCAATCATTGAGGTAAACTGAATTTATTCACTTTGTCATCTCTGTTCTACTCCTCTACTCGAGAAGATTGAATTAAGCTCTGTTCACCTGGTCTGTTCTTTTATTTACCCGCACATCTCACTGCACTACTACCTCCAGCTCATCTCCTCCACATATTGCAACATTATTGTTATGTTTGGAAGCGTTAGGTTTTGGCGTGTCCTTCGGGATTTATTAAATCTCGTAGTAGCTCATATCAACACCTATGAATCAATATAGGCCAAGTTGCTGAAGGAAATCAATTTCTAGGTCCTTAAAGGGAATGATTTTCCTCAGCTAGCAAAGAAAGAGTGTGTGTATAGATGTATACCTGCAGTGGCTCAAGCCACTTCAAATTCAAATGAAGAGGACGAAGAGGACCACTCCTGTAAGGTCCTGAAGTGAGAAGAAATGGAAGAAAACAAGAAAGTTTTAGTATATATGCTATAATCAGTATGTTTCAGTTCTACTTTTTAAACTGAAAATTTGAAAGTCTCCATTTTCATTCATTGAAAACATTATTTATTAACTCGAAACAAAAGCCAAATAATGAAGTTGTATATTAAAAAAAAAGTAGATTTTCCGAAAACGGATACTTAAAGCATTGGCTGGTATTTCTGGCAAGAAACAGGTATTTTCAAATTAGTGGGCAGGTAATTTTATCTTGGAATTATCAGCAGCAGTGGATATAACATTATCATACTTTTCCATATCAAAATAATTTAAAATACTCCTGAAAACACCCTATAATTAAGAAACTATAACTTTAAGATCTATCCTAAGGAAAAAAAAGTATATTGTATCAGATACATCTCAGCAGTACATCAATTAATAAATATATGTCTACATTGTTTCACCGGTCAATCCACGGGTTGGGAGGAGGAAAAAGAAAAAGGCTTTCAGGTTGAAACCCTCCAATATGTAAAAATATGTTGTTTTTTTTTCATCGGTGCATATATATTTCTGTAAATGATCTGAGTTAAATATTAAACAATCAAAATATGTATTCTTTTAAAATAATAACACATCTATTTTAGCTACTTAATGTAAGCACATGTCAAGAAAAAAGATTATTATTATAGATAGTAATTTAGACCTTGATAAATTAATTTATCGTACAATATCCATAATTTATGTATTTCTGATGATACCTGAAGTGGTGAAAATTTGGATAATTTTATAATAAATTATTTTATTAACTGAGACAACTATGGCCTAAATTACTACCTATACTTATATAAGGCTGTTTCTCGTTATCCTTATAAACAAATAAATTATTATTTTTTTGACAGCCATTCAAGCACTATTATTTTTATAAACACTAATTAAGTTTCTTCCTTTTTCTATAATAAAAAATAATGTAATTAAAAAAACATACCCACCCCAAAATTAAATCCTGTAACCATTGCTATATTATTTGCCATTAAAATAAAAAAGAAAAGAAATACCATAATTATTTTTAAAAAAGATACAAAAGTTTCAGTAGTGTGAAACAAAATCATTTTCGTCAACTAAATTCGTTCTTGAGAAATGCCACTCTCATGGTAACGAATAAATAGGACAAGTATGGCATATGTTTGAATGGACTTAGAATTTCATGAATGGTTTTATAGAATACATCCCTAAAAATGCAGCAACCTTAATAAATATTTATAAGCTTTGTACACAAAGAAATGGAGATGACAATTAACTACTTATTAACAAATATCTTTGGATCAGGCTCATTATACATTCTTACATGAAGTTTTTATGATCCATTGTTCTCGTCGAAGCAAAATTAACATCACATGACACATAATTGACAAAAAAATATCTTTAATCTTTTCATCAAAAATATTTTCAATAAAAATATTTCATCAAGAAATCAAAAGTATTTTTTCCTTATATAGTATATTGTTTAACTTATATAATCTTAATTATTAAAGATCTTCTAAGACTTTGTTAGTACTGCCTCCACAATTAGATTAAATCCTTCTAACATAGGATTTGATGAATGAATTCCTTAATTTAATAATAATTTGATATAAAATCAAAGCTACTTTCATGACATAAATATGTACATTTATTATAACATATACAAACATAAATAGTATATAGAACTTTTAGCTTAACCAGACTGTTATTAATTTTAAACATAGATATTCCATATAAAACAAATTTACTTTTATTTTTATAATAACATATATTTGAAACAGTCAATGATTTACATATTATTTTTCTTACTAACATTGTATTAAAAAGAATAGCCATAGTATTAGATTAACTAACAAATATTCAAACAAAAATTTAGGTTAATTCTTCTCAGGTTGTAGGTTTATTATTTATTTAAAACGAGTGTTTTATTCCTATTGTTGTTATTATCGTAACTAGCGTTTGCCAATAATTCATCTTTCTTATCGAAGAGAAGGTTGGTTGGGATTATCAGTCAAATGTAAATGATAAAAAATAAATAATTCTATTTATATTTACATTCGCCGAAGTTTCAGCCCGAAGTTCACGCCTTCATCAGAGCTGCTGTACAAGAAGTAAAGTCAGGCCAGAAAAAGGAAAGGACGAAAAAAATGGTCTGACTTTACTTCTTGTACAGCAACCCTGATATGAGCCTGAACTTTGGACCAAAACGTCGGTGAATGTAAAAATAAATAAAATTATTTATTTTTTACCATTTCAATTTGATTGATCATCCTTCTCTTCAATTATTCACTACAGTCAACCATAAACGCACAATTATGGATCTTTCTCATCATTATAATGAAAACTTTTACCCAAAGATTATAGGTTGCTGGAGTTGTAACTATGGTATAGAATCAATAAGATGAATCTCAAAACATTTTAGATGATATTTACTGTTATGGAAGAAACAAACAATAATGAAATCACTGGTATCAACCTTTTCTTTCTTCCTCTATTACTAATATCCTTTTTTGTCATTGTTATAAAAATGTTATTGGCCAACTCAATAAGTTCTTACCGTCCCTGTTCCAGGTGGCAGCCTGTCATGCCTCGACTGCTTTGGTTCTGATGGACTCCCGAGATGTTACAGGCATTGGTAGTGGCAGCTTTGCTTGCAAGTTCTGCCGGCCAACAATTTTTGCCTCAAACTAGGTTCACGTTCAATCCATATGATGTATCGACATACTTGGTAATAAGCTTGGATGAACCTTATATTTAATCATATAAGTTGACATATAATTGATAGATCAATTCAAGTAAAAATATTTGATTTGGTCACTTATATGAATCTTTGGTCTCTTAAAAATTGTTTGCACTTTAAAATTAACTTTATTCAATTAAAATTTTATTTTTTAGCAATGAATTTCTTAAATATTACAATAGTACAGCTAATGATTTTTAATTATTTTTGTGACAAATTTTAGGCAACTAATATGATTTTATGAAGAATCAAGAACAAATACAATCTATTTAAAAGAAATAAATCAACAAAATAAAAATATTTAAAGAAATTTACCTTTAATAAGTATGTAGAATAGAATCGACGGATTTTAAGTAGACTACTGTATGATATGAGCTTATACAGAAGGTTAAGAAACAACAGATGAAATTTTAAATGGGACTAAATCTATCTAATTCTTAAGAAAAAACAAAAAAAAACATTGATTTGTAGAAGGAATCTGAAAAATCAATACTATAGTATGTAAAATATAAAATATAACAGAATTTTAAGAGCATTATATATATAGAAGTTATCGATAATCAGCAGAAAAGGAAAGAAATGTTTTTATTGGATTCAGAGAATCTTTTTATTCTTAAAGATGTTTGAATGATCAACAGTTTAAACTAATATAATAATATTTAAAGAATTTGATTTTATATTAGAATTATAATTAGAGAAAAATAACTTTGTTAATAGAAATCTGCCAGGATGGCAGAGGTAAATCCAAAGGAACAGGAGAAGATAGCCAAGCAGGTGAAGTTCCCATGTTCTCTTAAAAAATCGTCCAAAGTTCCAGACCGAGTGGACAGGCTGAGGCCAGGAGATGTCGCTGTAGTCGCTGCTATGGGAGATTCATTAATAGCTGGCAATGGGGCATTGGAAAACAATGCTTTAGGATCTTTCATTGAGAGTAGGGGTGTTTCATGGGCTGCAGGTATTTCTAAACTAATTTAAAATTTAAAAGTTTATAAGCATTACTTATTAGTAATGATATCTATGAATGAAAAAGTGGTAATAAAAATACTTTCAGAATTTATCCATACTTAAAAACAATATCAGACATTATTGAGACAGTTTAGAACAGTTTTGATCACACTAACTTCCAATAATACTTTGTGGCAAAGAATTAGGCTCCTCTTCCAGTATCATTCTCATAGTAAATACATGGAATGAGGTTTATAAAATACAGATATCTGAAATTTCCTTTATAAATTTGTAACATACAACTAAACTTAAACTACATCAAAACTATCTATAATTTTTTAATTAAGATTTTTCAATTAATTGTTTATTTGAATTATAAAATCCCAGATGTATAAACCAAGAAAAAAGATATATCAATTAAAAATAACTTAATTTTGTTCATAGACATCAGCCAAGAAGGCAGATGCGATTTCAAGGGAATAGAAGATTAAAAAGCAAATAAAGTTTCCATGTTCTACTACATCTTGCATACTCAAATAACTCATGGATTTATTGATAAATAATAAATAGATAGATTTTGTTAGTACATGTCAAATCCCACTTGATTTTTTGTGTTGATGCTCTGAAACAGTAAATAAATTTTATGCATTTTGTTTATTTAGCTATATTTGAAATAAAAGAAAAAAATTAAAACATGCAAATCTGAGCATTTAATACTCTTATATATTACAATTAAATCGTAACGAAACAAAAATTAAATATTTTTAATAATTTCAATAACAAATTTTGTATTGATGGAAGGTTGCATAACATTTTTTCTATTTTCTTCACTTCTCTTCTAGTCTTGCATAACCATGGATTGTAAAATTTTTATTATTTTAGTATTGGATGAAGATTCATTTATGTTTGTGAACTCCATTAAGTTCTTTTCTTTTTTTTCTGTATACTTTATCTTAACAGAATCAAAAAGTTTTTAAACCATTTTTTAATTTTTAAACCATTGAATATAGAGTGGCAATATTAAAATAAATGAGTAAAAACTCACCAAGAGAGCCAAAATAAATGTTAGGTCATAATTGGAAAAATCCAACAACATAATCTTGTTTCTATAAAGTGTAGGTAGAGAACAAAATAACTTGCCTATGTTTCGCCAATTCAGGCATCACCAGGACAAAAAATAAAACCTAACCCAACTCTATTATATATTTATACGCATACTCTATTTATATTTTGAAATTCTCATGTTAAAGAAGTTAAATTTTGACAAAAAGTTAAATTAATCTGTAGGGGGTGATGAAGATTGGCATAGTTTTCTTAAGCTTCCTTAAAATAAATTTTAATAATAAATTAATCCTAATAGAGCAATGCAATTGGATGTCATGGGGTAATGTGATGTTGGGTTTGGCTTTATTTTCTGCCCTTATGATGCCTCAATTGGCAAAATGTTGACACATTATTTTGTTCTGTACATAAGTATGGGAAACAAGGTTGTGTGGTTGGATTTTTCCAATTTTTCCTCAAAAATACAAGTTATACCGCTTCTTATTTCTCTTGCTAAGTCAGTTCTCACTTTCCTCTAATTTTCTTTATCCAGTACCCATTTGTCAGAATTAGAGCCCATACTTTACACCTAATATTTATTAATGGTTATCAGTGGGGTCTGGGGGTTATTGTCATACTTGAAATTTGAATTTGAACATTATATAAAAGTGATGAATAATGTACATAACTAACCATATATTCTTCAAAATATATAGTATTTTTAATATAAATTTGGAAATTCTTCATTTAAAGCTGTTACGTTTTGAAAAAAATCTTAAATTAATTTTCAGGAGGTGATGAGGATTGGCATGATTTTCTTACACTTCCAAACATTTTAAAAGAAATGAATCCTAATCTAACTGGCTATTCACAAGGAAGAGCTGAATTCTTGACTCCAGTTTCTGCATTAAATGTTGCTTTTCCCATTTCTGCTGATAATAGCGCTCTTAGCCAAGCTAAAACTTTAGTGGCTAAGATGCGCCAAATGCTTGGCAAAAGATATGCAACTGATTGGAAGGTATATTTTCTCTTAATGAATATTTTTCGTAATATAAAACCTTCATAAAAATACTGTAGCTGTATTTATACTTACCTATATTAAAATTTAAAACTAATATGACATGATCTTCAATAAAATAATTATTCAACCAATTTTAATGTTCAGACTAAGATAGATACAATGTTTTTTGAGAATCTGAAACACAAGTTTGTGAATATAGATTTTAAGGAAACTATTTGTTTTTTTCAAGGTAGTAACAATTCTCTTCGGTGCAAATGATCTTTGTTCTGGACAGTGCTATAATGCTAGAGCATCTTCACCTTCAGCACATGCTTACAAGTTACGTCAAGCCTTGGACTATCTTCAGGACAATATGCCACGAGCTTTTGTTAATTTAGTTTCTGCTCTTGGTAAATTATAATAAATAGTTGTTTTTGTATGTTTGCTATTAATTATTATAGCTTGATATTATTACTGTAATTTCCAGATGTGACAGTTAGTGTTCGTATAAAACGCTCAATGGTCTGTAGAATTATCCATAGATTCTTCTGTTCTTGTTATCATATGATGTCTAATCCTCTAGAGACATTAGCAAGAATGGCAAGACTTTATCAAAAGCATGAGAAACAACTGGTAAGCAAATTTATTTGATGAATTTATTCACATCTAAATTTTAAAAGCTGCACATTAAACAAATTTATCAACAAAAAATACTTATGAAAAATATAGATATTTCAAAATAAAATACTTTGACTGGAAATGAACTAATTTTATGTTATTAATAATTCTGTGCATCCTCTCCAACATGTTTTTTTTTTTTTCATAACCTTTAAATTTCACGTGCATAACTTTTTCTTCACAACTTTTGCTGTAAGTGAAATTGAAAAAAAAATAACCCTATAATTTATAGCATACGTTGCATATCTATTTGTATGTTTCGAGGATGCTTTGTCTCCCTATTCAGATTCTGGGTGAGTCTAACTAAGAATAAGTTTATTCAATGACTACTTATAAGAAACTTAGTTGGATTCACCCAAAACTATTATATATTAGATGTGTACAATATTAGTACACAATATTAGATGTGTACAAATGGGAATAAAAATGCTATAAATTACCAGTTGTTTTTTTTTTTAATTTGACCTTTACGCAAATTAGTGGAGAAGAGGTGGAGAATGATGAAGAAAGGGGAGGAATATAAAATTATAAATATTTAGTACTCATTATAAGTATTCACAGATAAAGCAATTTTAAGTAAATTATTATGAGATCCCATTAACTTCATAAATTGAAAAATAAAAGCTCAACTGATCATTTTGCTAACCAAAAGAAATATTTAAATTAAATTAATCAAAATTTCAATTAATAGTATAATAATAGTGCATGTTATGTGTTAAAAAATAAATGAAGATCAGAGTAGGACGTATTATACTCACAATTACAAATACATAGTACTTCTTGAAAAAAATATTAATGGATATCGCTTAAAATTGTATTTGGTACTCATATACGTTGACACATATGCTCGCATATGCTAAGGAATAACGATTACTTCTTGTATTTATACATATCATTAAATTTTTGGATACAGTTACAAATACTTTCTCAAATTGCCTATGTTTTTCCATATTCGGATAAAAATAGTTTGAATAAAATAGACCATAGTATGGAAGAAATCCTATAAATCGAAATAAATCAATACCGAAGCACAGAATCTTAAAATTATTTTTTTGTTAATTATGTCTATGATAACACAGTATCGGCCTGTAATATGGAAAAAGTCAGATAAGTTTAAATAGATCAATAAGCAAACGCAGAATCTCAAAATCCATAGGATTTATATAAAAGTATTCCTCCCTTTGCGAGCATGATAATAATAATCCTTAATAGTTTTACTGTGACCATAAATTAAAGAATGTTCCCATCCTCTTATATTCCATTCTATTGGAAACAAGAAATTATCATATTATCATCCTATTTTAAGATTATTTCATCATTTTGGCTAGGCATGATCTGTTCATATTTGAAACCAAGGATAACGAGGATTTACTGGACAAACTTGTAAACAATAATGAGTATTTAAATTTCTATAGTTAATTCTTAAGTTAATCTAATTGTGATATAGATTTAAAAGAGTCTAATTCACCTTTTATATTTTTAATTTTTGTTTTTAAAATTATAATTGTCTTATTCATTGCTGACCTTAGACACTCGGCGCTCCTGGGCAATGACGCCATCTCTCCCTCCCCTAAAAAAAATTAAATTTATTTCTTAAGCTGTTTTATACTATGAAATACTTGAATTTTATCGCATTCAATATTTCTCTAATACAGTTGTTCTATTGTTGGCTAAAGTGAATTATTTTAATACATTTTCTAACTTTCTTTTTATTTCTTACCTGTGGTGAGCGCCCCTGAAGATCGGTTGGCACACTGGGGCAATAGCCACAGTTGCTCCGCCCTAAGGCCGGCACTGGTCTTATTCATGGAAATCGAGTTCTGAGAAGAATTTATATTTGCCTGGAAATGCAAGATGATTACAAATGAACTATTCAAAAGTAACTGAATATTATATTTGTATTCAAGATTACATTTTTCTCCAGATACTGCCCAACTCTGATAAGGATTATTCTATTTAAAGTTAATAAAACCACTTCTTATAAATTATGATTTTTTTGACCAATTAAAACTATATATCCAAAAATTATTTAATTTATTTTAAAACATATTTATTTATTTGGTTACAATTTAAGGTACCATGTATAACAACATAGGTTAGAGGCATCTATGTTTAATAGTATATATATATTTTAATAATTATTTTTCTTTAAGTTTTTCTGATTTCAAATAAGTTCTTCTTTTAAAACTTAAATTTTCTACTCTGCATTGGACGGAGTTGAGCTTTGGGGCTCCACCAAACCATCGAATTCCTATTGTATCCAATCCTTACAATCCAAAATCCTCTGTAAAATAGTTAATGCTCCATACTTTGTCACAAATAAAACCATTCATAAAGACCTTAATGTACCATATGTCGCTGATTTAGCTCGAGCCAGATATCTATCCTTTCATGATAAACTTCAGTCCCATCCAAATCCGCTTGTTTCCACTCTTGCTTCTTCCTCGATTCCTGATAATCCTCCTAGGCGTCTGAAAAGGAGATGGCCTCGTGATCTTACTTAAAATTATTTAGAGATTGCTACCACTGGTTAGTAACTCTTCAAGCCTGTACATGCCATTATTTATATTTGCGCATATTTACTAGTTGTATTTGTATACAGTTGTAAATTCCATTAAATAAACAAAAAAAAAAAAATTTTCTACAGTTAAAAAAGTATCACAAATCAATATTAAAAAAAATAAATAGAAATTTTCTGCTCCATAATAGTTTTTAATTATAATTTTCTAAAAATGAATATATTAACTTATGACAAATTCTCCTCAAATGTAAAAAAAAAAAAAATAAAAAAAATAAATATATTCACAGAAGCACTGTATTGTAGCATTATTATTGATAGTAACAGATTTAATCAGTGATTTATTCAGCTATTCAATTCTGATTCTACATATAAAATACAATTAAATGTGATGCTGTTTTTGGAAAATTCCTCCAGTCAAGTTTGAATATTAATGAATTGGAATTTATAAGATGTTTTTAATTTTTTTTTATAGATTGAAAGTGGTCGATATAATGTAAAACCCGATTTTACAGTTGTAATTCAGCCATTTATGACTGCTTACAATATGCCACTAAATGAAAAATACAAACTGCAAGAGGTTATTGACATTTCGTATATTACTTATGACTGTTTTCATTTCAGTCAGAAGGGGCATGCATTGGGTAAATATATTCAATAATTTAAGCCTAATTACTTTATAAATATTATATAATTTTTATTTCTAAAAGAAATATTTATTTAACAAAAATATTGTTTTTAAATTTTCAGTTGCTAATATGCTTTGGAATAATATGCTGGAACCAGTTGGTTCTAAGTCAACTAGAAAAATGAAGAATATGTTTGACAAATTTTACTGCCCCTCTGAAGATAATCCTTATTTTTTTACAACTAATAACTCAATTGCCTTCTATAAAACAGGAAGGCAAGATGGCATAAAAAAGATGGTTGTAAAAAAGAGGTTATTATGATTTAATGCCTATACTGAATATTTATGGGATTCCTCAAGAAATCCTAATTCTCTCCAGAGAATTGTGAGAATCCATCTGATCTAGTTGACATATAAAGTTTATCATGAAGAAATGAAATGCATTAGATAAAGCCAGTGCCCTTGTTGGACTTATTTTTGTAAAGTAATTTATTCAAAAATGTATTTGTAATTTAGTACAGTTCACTTCTTTAAAACTGAAAACTGTAAACATCAATAATTATTGAAAATGTAATTTTTGGTAGAAAATTAGAATCTAGTCTGAATAATAATTAAAATAGATATAATATATTAATAAGATAACCTTATTTATGAACTGTGTTAAAAAGTTGAAGTATTTATTTATTTGCACAATATGAATAAGTTAAGATTTGAATGATTTTTTTTTTTATTTAAATGATTTTTTTCTATTTTAACTATGCATTTATATTGCTCATTTAATGTATAATATAAATTTAATAGAAACTACCTCAAATTTCGATTGAAACCTTTTTATAATAATTTATCCTCACCTACTTTTATCACTTCAATATTAAATTTGGATGAAATTCATTATATAACATTTCACAATGATAAAAAAAAAAGTTGCAATGGTTTAATAAAATGTTATTTTTATATTACATTTTATATAAATATTATTAATGAATAAAAAGTAAATATTTAAATATTTGTAACAATCTTTTAAGTGAGTATTACAATAAAATAAATGAAACTAGACTAAAACTGGCTCAATAGACTTTCATTTCTGTTTCAAGTGTAAAACATTATATTATATTTAGTGTCTAAATTTAGTATCAAGTTAAATTTATTTATTTTTCGAGACACGAATTTAGCTGTTTCTGTTTATACATATTCATCTGGTTGTATTAAATACAATTTTCCACATAACATTAATGAAACATTAATGAATGAATAAGTGATTGACATTTAATTTTATATATTAGTAGATATTTACTAATTAAAATTAAACGTGCTTTTATACAATTTTTGTAATGTACAAGCCTGTTAGTTACATTTGCCTGAAAGGTTGTAGCCTGAGAGAAAAGAAATTTATGATAGGCATTTTGTATAGGTTTTTGGAAAAGAATAGAAGCAGGATAGCTCAGTGTGTCTGGCTACATCAGAAAATTATTCATTCTGTTAACTTAGCTATTTCCTTGTAAGGCATAGCCTTTATAAATATGATACCATTACTTGAGAGAAGTGTGATCCTGGTCAAACCACCTCCCTACCTAGGCCTCCATTTGTCGATAAAAATTACTTAAATTAGTACAGAATTCAAGACTCTTCATGGTTTCTGGTGCTTTAAGTTTTTTTTTTTTTTTTTTAAATTTTCTATATTTCAAAAATAGGTAATCAATTAGATATTAATCTGGTGGGCTTTGAAAATAAATTATTTTTAAACCCCGTAGATTTTAAAAAATCTATCAGAAGATATATATCAATTAATTATATCAGGAAATTGCCCTTGCTAACTCTTATATCAATTCCTTACTTCTAATACATTGTAAATTTAACTGCGGGCCTATGTAATTACAAGATTTTGGTGGTAATCTATTGAGGCCAACAATTGGGTTGGCATATAAGTGCTCGGTTTTTCAGATTGAAATAAAATCAATGTATTATATATATATATCAAATTTAATGTAATACACTGACCAAGAATACTTGTTAATTATAGTATCACCACTTCTTATAAATTAAATTATTTGAAATAAAATAATAAAAATACATGCATTCAAGTAAAAATAAACAAAACTAATTTTTATTTATTTCTAAACAAAAATCTTTTATAACTACTAAAATTTGAAAAAATGGATGTGTTTCTTTAAGTTGAGTGTGCCACAATTCTGCTTAATAAAATGCTAGGAAATTACGACTTGTTCCCCTTCTTTTATTTTCCCATTTAGCTGATCCCCATCATCTTTCAATAGTTTGCGTATTTGCTAATGCCTTTGATCAATTTAAAAAACAAGGAACGTATGTTTTAACATTAGATAAATTAATATTCTAGAATGGCGATTCTATAATTAAAAAGTACTACCATTATTTAGTATGACCAGTTTCCATATTTCCACTAACTACACAATACCATGTTCATTGAACATATGGGATTTATTATAAAAAAAAAATATTTAAGAGTTTTTGATGTTCTGTTTGTTTTGGAATTGATTTAGAGTAATGCAGTTCAGCAGAGACCAGAAAGCAGTAGTCGGTTGGAGGTAAATCTTGCAGACAGGAAGGGTGGGGCAAACGGCCCCAGGAAATGTGTGTTGTCAAGTTGACTTTGGTTAGAGTGTGAACATTTTTTAAAAGCTTCTGCAGCAAGCTTACTTTTTTAAAAATAACACAGCAAAACATGTCGAAAATGAATGATTTTTTATTTATTGTGGATTGATGGTTAACTTTAGGGAATAATTGAAGAGGAGATTAGTTGTGGTGATCAGTCAAAAAAAAAAAGAAAAAAAAAAGAACAGGAAATTAAAAATAAATATGATTATTTATTTTTACTATTTTTTTTTTACTGATCACCCCAACCATTCTTCTCTTCGATATTTTCTTTAATAATCACATTGTGAAAGCAAACACAATGTTACTCTACTTTTAACAACAGTTTACATAAGTGGTTATTGACATATTTCAAATAGAATTAACAATCCATCTTAGGGATTAATTCTTCAGACAAGAAGTGTATGGTAGTGACATAAAAATAAATAAAAAAACCACAAGGATTTTCGCCAACCCAATATATGCATAAAACAAAGATATATTTTGCACACTATATCTCAAATATGGATCACTATCCAATAAAACTGAAATTTTGAATGTAGATGTATATTAAGGCTAGGTTTAAAGTGGTTAAAAAATATTTCTGAATTATTGTGTAATATTTCATTTGAATGACTTTGCATTTAATTTCAAGTCTATAAAAAATATTAAAGCACTAGTCTCTGTTTTAACATGTGTTCAATTAGTATAATAAAAAAAAAAAAAAAATAATTTTAAGAAATTCAAAAATTTTCCATGCTTGACATGTCATTATTTCTTGTATTTTCAGCACATTTGCTGATTGTCAACATAAAGTTGACAGGTACAAATAAATGTTTAAGCAAAAAAGAAACAACAAAATACATATATAACATTAGTTATTAAATGCAGCCATGGAAATATAGTAAAAATTGAATGGATGAAAATTACTCAGGATATGGCTTAAATAACGGTGTTCATTAAGTTGGCCAAAGTTACAAAATAAACTTGTGGTTCATCATTAGGGGAAAAGTTTGTTGCAAAATGAGAACTCAATGCTTGGGTTGCAACTTTGGTTAACTTAATAAACATGATTATTTACTGCATATCCAAACTATTTTTCAACCTTATTTATTATATGCATCATGCACTCATTATAAAGTAAAATTTAATGGGAGAGATGAAATATTTTGCTAGTGAAGCCACGGGGGTAACAGCTAATAAATTAAAAAGATAATAAACTTAATAATAATATAAAAATTGAAATTAAAAACAAACACAGGATGTCCCGTAAGTAGAGGGAAATATTTAAAAGGTTAATGGTAGACATTAAGATCTACAAAAAAGTTCATATAAACAATGGATTGATTTTCAGCAGAAATGTAGGAAATTTAAAATTTGTGGGGGTTAAAGGGTTTAATAAGTAATTTCTTTGAAATTATTAATTTCATTAATTATTTTTTTTCTTGAATTGGAATCAAAAAGTTAAAAAATATTTCATTTAAGTAATTAAACATCCATAGTAAACTAGACAAACTTTATTTTAATAGAAAGTAAAGTTGGTCATCATTAAAATTATTTAAAGAGGACTATTGAGTGGACAAACACAGCCAAGTTCCGTTTAAACAAAAGTCATAAATTATTTGTGATTTTTTTTATAACTCTTCAACTGTACCACATTTACCCCACTTTCAGAAAAACTTCCTCGTTTAATAAGCTTTAAGTCCATATTAATTAAGTTCAGGTTTATTAGGAAAATTCAGTCACCTTTAAGTACCTGAGTGTTCAGTCAATATGCAACAATTAACTGTTGCAAAGCTTTTATTTCTTGTTTTTGCATGATATGGGATGTATTTTAACACTAATCATACCAAGACTTAATATATACCTATTTCTACCATTGCGGGTCAAATGACCCGACTTTATGTTTCATGCTTGAATGTATGAAATATGGATGTTAGGAAGGAAATAAAAATATAAATTAAATTTATTATGATTAAACAAAATAGTATGTTGAGCATTTCTATTACAAAAGCAAAAAATAAAAACTTTTAATTGCCACCTACTTGCATTTGTTGCCAAACAGATCCATCATTCGCAACATTTTCTTCATTTATTTCTACTTCACTTTCTTCCGAACTTGTGAGTAATCTTATTCTTTTTCGGCCACTACATACATTCACAATATTTTCCTCTTCATCGTACTCATACATGTAGAGAGTAAGCTTTATTAAACGAGAAAGTTTTTCTGAAAGTGGGGTAAATGTAATACAGTTGAAGTGTGATAAAAAAAATCACAAATGATGACTTTTGTTTAAATAGAACTTAGCCGTGTTTGTCCGCTAAATAGTTTTAACAATGAGCAACTATACTTTTTTTAAAAGTAGATTTTATCCAGTTTACTACGGAGCAATGTTTAATAACTTAAATCAAACATTTTTTAAATTATCGATTCCTATTCAACAAAAAACGGAACTCGCTTAAAACGAACACAAATTTTAAATTTTTCACTTTTCTGCTGGAAATTGGACCATTGTTTATATGAACTTTTTTGTAGATATTCATGTCAACAATCAACCAATTAAATATTTTCCTCTACTTATGGGACACCCTGTACATGTGTAAACCACCAACTTATATTGACTTCTACTAATGACAACGTTACTGGTGTCATCACCAGTATGTCTTAATTATATTAGTAATCATTATAAGATGATATTCATTGATTCATTATATAATAACAGGTGTAAATAAACTCAAAATGAAATATTAGAGCAATATTTATAAATAAGTTTTAATATACATATTTCAAAACATATGATAAATTATCAATATTAGGCAAAGGCCTCATTAAGTTAAAGCAGCGATTTAGTGAATAGTGGTACTCGATTGTATATCAAATTCTTTCTGTTTTATTTTAAGGGGGCTCAAAATTATTAGCTTAAGTTGAATTAGCTAAAATCGACATAATGGAGGCAGAAGAACAGAAACATGATCCCGAGGAAGAAGCCAAAACTCCAAAAAAACGAGTCAAATTAACGGTTGCCGAGCTCAAAGAAATATCTAACCGTATGCTGGAACCGGCTGTCGAAGAGCAGAAGGCGATGGACATTAGAACAGTAATACGAGCTATCAAAAATCCAGACTCGGTCATCAAAGGAACAAAACCGCAAGCGAATATTGAAAAAGAGGAAGCGGTTCGTATGAACAGGAAGAGCATGCTGGAAAGGAACAAGGAGTCCCTCCACAGCCTGTACAAGCTGCCGGGGACGGATATCAAGATGGCCAACATCAAGGGAGATTCCATTGGCTTTTTGGAGTGCATGTCGGGTCCGAGGGTTCCGAACTTCGATGAGACTGAGAGTGACACCACTTTCGAAAGGTTGTCCAACGATGATGAATCTGAGGAATCTCCGTCCATTCTAAAACTTATTAAAAGTGAAACAGATGAGGAGGAGGAGGACGTAGATAAGAAGCCAGTTAAAATTCGAAAAGGTAATTTAAAAAAAAAATGTCTATATTTTGCTACTAACTGTTTGTCCTAGCAGGAAATAATTCCGTATTCTCGTACAATTTTAATTTATCCTAAATATTTTAATTGAAATTTCTTCACGGTAGCGAACTGACGAAGAAACTTCGAAATCGTATTAATGGTAAACTGCGTTGAGTGTGCAAAACTTTTTCAATTTTTCCAATTATTGCTTAGTACAAAATAATTCGAATTAATTTTTATTTTGAGGGATCTTCAATGGTAAGTCACGTATTTATTATTTCCCAAGTAATAAGAAGGATTATGGAGATGCTATATCAAAAGAGCCTTATTTGCCACTATTCTCAATTTGCTGAACAGTCAAGTTGATTTATTAACACTTCCTAAGGTAATTTACATTTCAAGAATATTCTCACTTTCTAGCAATTTCATCAATACCTTAATTTTATGGAATTAACTTTGGTGGTTCTCCGATTTAATTTCGTCTTTGAAAAAATCTTAATTCCTGGTTAAGAATACGGTTAGATATTTCGTCTTTAATTCGTCTTAATTCCTGGATTAAGAATAACTACTTATATTGAACACTGCAGACAGCCACATTCCACCATGATCAAATGCACTAGCGGATCCAGGACTTAATTTTGGTGGGGCTTCAGCCCGAAAGATTTTTTTTTTTTTCATATATATATAACGATAATTAATTTGAAAAAAAAGCAAGAAATTAACTACCTATATGAAATGGTGTTTAAGTGGTTCTTGAAGTCCTATTAAATGTAATTAAAAGACCAAGAGATAGTTTTTAATATTTCTTTCTGTAAAACATGATTTTATTTTACTATTTTTTGGGTGAGGGCTTCAGTCCGAAAGCCCCCTCCGTAGATCCGTCTGTGATCAAATGAAAACATTTTTTTTACTTAACAATATTAAGGCATTCATAAGAAGTTGTGACTGGTGTGAGTTGTTCTTAAAATCTCCGATTTAGTACAAAAACATAATATTTTATAAGATCTTTTCTTCTCTTTAGGATCTTTCCTTTTTTTATAAGCTTATCTTCTCTAAGTGATAAAAAATGTGTGAACTGAATAGGATGCAAAAAAATGGAGGAGATTTCAGATGAGGAGGATGAACAAGGCAAAAAAGGAAAATCAAAGAAACCGAAGTTAAAGAAATGGAAGCCTAGAGTTAAACATAGTGGGGTATTGTATATTATGAGTAATATTGATAAGTTTCAGAGTAAAGAAACAAATTGTATATATATATGCAGTGGTACCCAGAAGGGGGTTTCGTGGCGCAAGTTGCAGTATAAAACGTTTTGGTTGGGGCGTATTTTTTAATTTTTGAAGGGGGCCAATTTCGACGGGATTGTGAATTTTCGGACTAAGGGACAAGGGGAAAAACACGGAACATACCACAGCAAGTGTAATTGTATATGATCTACGATTTTTCGAATTCTACCTTAGCTTCCTCTGTTTTTAAGAAAATGGTGAGCAATAAAATATCTTGGAAATGGGAGGGGAGGTAGGTTCTTGCGCTATCGACTTTGGAGGGAATGGGCACCCCTGTGTATATATAAACTCCCAGGCTAATAAAGAAAGGTTATGAAGTCTATAATAAACTGGATATAAACAAGTTTTATTAAAATAAATTACAATATATTTCTTCCATTAAACAGAAAAGTTGGAAAACTTACTTTTTAAAATTTTCTTTTTTTAGAATTTTGACTTTTAAATTACAATTTAATTTTTTTATTTTAGTTCAATATTAAGTATTGCCTCCTCTAGTTTGAATGACTGCTTCAACTCGTCTTAGCATACTTCTAAAAAGATTTTGAAGAAAATCTTGGGGTATATTGTCCCACTTCTCCAATACATCTTTTTATTGGTGGTGACGTTTCAACCCAAACATGTGGGTCATCAATAAGGCATATTTCGAGCACTGAAGATACTACTTCAAGCGTTAAGTACTTGAATACTTTCAGTGCTGATGATGACCCACATATTTGGGTTGAAACGTCGGTACCAATAAAAACTTTATAATGACATGACTGCAAAACAGTCGACTAACTTCCTTCAATAATTCATAAATATAAAATAAAACTTTACAACATTAATTGCTATGGCGGATATAGTCGTTTGCTTTTTTTGGTCAATTTCAACTTATCCTGTCCTCCTAATGACTCATGTCTTTATAACCAAGCTTTGATGGATTCCGAGCATGTCCGCTTCAACATTCTCGAGTCTAGTGGCGCCGGTTGAAATTGTTTTCGTATGTAACATGAATCCAAGCAGTGAAAGACCGCATTAAACATTCAAAATATTGACATAAATACATTTAGTGAACGCATTTTTTTTTAATATTCCCGTAAATGAATGTTTTCATTATTTACAAGTTTTCGAATTATTTCAAAAATTATTTTCATTACTTTATAGTCACATAAACTAAAATTTTGTTTGATCTCAGTTAATGGCTTAATACGATTTTGGTCAACAACGCGATTTACTCATTTTATTTTCCCTATAACCAATTTGTTAAACATATGGACAGACTATGATAATTGAAGTCATCTAAAAAGAAAAACAGTAAAATTATAACTCTTATTTGCCAGATGCACTGCAATCCCAATTAGGGTGCAAGTACTCTCTGCTAAGTAAGAACCACTTAAAATCGTATAAAGACAAAATTTTTATAAAAAAAAAAAAAAAAAATTATAATGATGTGCGATGGTAACAGAGATTATTATTTTTTAATGATATGACCACGAGTAACAGAAAAATAATATTTTTCGTTTATATTACGTAGTGTAAGTTTTCGGAAAATTACACAAGCAACTTAATGCCATAAGAACACAATCAAAACCAGACACTAACCTTCAAGAACGGCTTTTTTTTCCCCGATCTGGTGCAGCCCATTTAGTTTTTTCAGTCTTCCTTATATGTTTTCTAAGGTAATGAAGGTAAATTGACTCAGTGATTGCCATTACCCTGAACGCAAATTTGTCTTAAAGACAAAATATATACAATGATAAAAATTCTGAATAAAGAACTATAGGATACGAACATATGGCCTGTTTGTTGGTCATTTTTAAATTGAATAAATATCACAAGTTTAAATCTATTAAATTTTTCAACATAATTCTGTAGTGTTGTTGGGAAGTTCTCCTGGCCAAATAGACCAGAAGCTACCGACTATTTCGTTTAATGGAAGGACTTGCTAGCATAGCTGGTAACCATTTTAAATTCTAGATAAACCACATCTGAACACACAACTTCGGTCAGTTGGTTGAAAGCCGTGATACATCGTCAGCCAACGTGAATTCTCTTTCAGGGCCATATTCTTTACATCACATCAAAATTTCAGCTGTACGTTCTTCCGTTAAATGAACCATCAAATTTTACCTCTTTCATTTAAATTTTGGGATAGAAAGCAACGGCTTTTAACGGACTGACCGAAGCCGTGTGTTCAGATCATGTTTATTTAAAACTAGCTGACCCGTGCGAATATTCCGCACAAACCTAATATTTGTATTTGATTTCAACACATTAAGGGCTCAGCACAACTTCCATTCAATATCGTTTGATACGCAAAGGTTTAATACTTATATTTTGTAAGCCAACAGTTATAAATATGATTTACAATCTGCCATGGCTTAACTATTACGTTTCCTTAAACTTATAATGTAAATATTACCTTCATCCTTCAATAGATTTCATAAACTAACAAAAGCCTCTAAGCATTGCTATAACATATAATGACAGCAAAAGACAAAAGCCTCAAATTCTTAAGGTAAAATAGTTAGTGCAATCAGGATGAATGTTACTTTATCATAAAAAAAACCAAAAAAAAAAAACCAAAGTGTATTATTCAAGTGATAAACTCCAATAATAAAAATCTAAAAGAAAAATCTAAAGTAATTGAATCACATTGATTGACAAACATTCCAAGAAGTATTTTAAGGAAACACACTTACATAAATAAAAATAAAAGTAATAATTGAATTATTAAAAAAAAAAGAGAATAAAATGTTTTCAAATTAAAAGAATAATTACAAGAATAATATAATAATTGATGGATTAAAAAAGGGCAAATTCCAGAACCTTAAATTCCCATGTGCAACAAAATTTTTGTAATGCAACAAATATTAAATGTTCTGAACGCTATAACTCTACACCAAATCCTCCGATTTCTATGCTTTTTTTAATGATTTGTCGGGTATTTAGTAAGCTTTCAAATACTCATAATAATGGGCCTTATTTATTAAGAGTACTGTTCGAGTTATTTGTTAATTATGAATTCATTTGCAACGTGTCGATTCGTTGAGACGTCACCGTGAAACCTCCCACTTTTACATTCACTTTAGTCCAGCTATAGAATTAGGAATAAAAATTACGATTCGTGCACTGTACATGATATTCTCCTTCTATTAATAACCGATTCGTCAAAATCCATCACTCCTGAGTAGTGTTGCCCAAATGCAAGACCGAGACGAGAGAAGACCGAGTCTTGGTCTTGCAAACTCAGTCTTGGTCATGGCCTTGGTCTTGCGCAAGAATCTCGCAGCAGCCTTGCAGTTACTTATTAGCTTATTACTACAGAGATATTACTGTAATTTTTTGGACAGGAGAAACCTAACTAAGTCCGAATGAAAAAATAGAGGAGTTAAATGCAAAAGTATATTGGTTATACCTATTATTAACATATAGTAACTAAGATCGTCAAGTATTAGTAACTATTTTGCCTTAATTTTTATTTAAAAAATTGATTTTTTTTTTACCAGTCTTGGTCTTGGTCTTGCAACAGTTAGGCGGCCGAGAAAAGGAATATATATATGAGAAATAATATATAATATGGTTACTAGCTGCAAGTCCTTCCGTTAAATGAACTGGTCGGTAAGCACCTAGTCTACAAGGAGATCCATACAGTCTGGACTGATTCGACACTTCTGTAAAACCATTTCTTCGTTTGTGATATAAGAAGACAGACTGTTTAAGCAACTTTTGGATTTTGCAGGTTTCTTCAATAACTTACGACTTGCAAACAAAGCAGACCTTCCTAACATCACGAGTATCAAAATTACAGTTTGTTACGATAAAATATCAGTGTTTAGTTGATAAAATTTTTAATTTATAGATGTCACCTGATCCACTTATGATCGAGTACGCCGAAGGAGTTTCTAAATATCTCAATGAAATAGGAATATTCACCTTCATGAAAGACTGGTTGTACCACCTTTATGGGACCAACCCGAAGCCCAAAGACCCCGTCAAGTAAAGACAAACGTAGAATTAAAATTCTTCATTTTAATTTACATTTCTAGTATCGCAAAACAGTTTCATTAATTGATTTCAGTGAAAGTTAAGTTGGCTGTAGATCTATGGGAAATATATGATGCTTGTATCGTTTATTATAAAAACAATATATAATATATAAGGTAAAACGTATATTCATATTCTTTCTGTTGTCATTGCAGACCTTTTAGATCTTTTTTCCCTGCTTTAACAAGCCTTCTCCGTCTCGACCTGTCTTGGGCTATTTATTTTCAGTTATCTGCACGCAGCTCTGTTGCATATTAAATATATTAGGTGAATTAAGCTGAAAAATTTAAAAAAATAAATATATTTGAAAGGGTTAAAAGAGGTTGAATGTATCAACAAAACTCATTATTGAAATCTCAAAGTGACATCTAAATATACAAATCCTTCAATTTTGTTTAAAATGATTTTCATTAGTTTATAAATATGAAATAATTAATATTTTTTGTGTTATCAACATTAGTTCGATAAAATATGAACAGGAAGACTGCCCGACGCTCTGAAGAAGGTGCCATTTAAATATCGTTCGCGCAAAACTTAATACTACTTGGGTTGTTTCCAGCGAAACGGAGCGGGGTAACTCAGTGAATAGAACACTGTGTTTAGTGTTGCCCAAGACAAGTCTTCGTCTTGTGCACTCAGTGTTATTCTTGATCTTGATCTTGCGCAAGAGTCTCGCAACAGTCTTGCGTACCTATTAGCTTATTACTATAGAGATATTATTGTAATTTTTAGATAAGAGAAACCTAACTTAACCCAAATGAAAAATTAGAAGAGTTAAATGCAAAAGTATATCGGTTATAGCAATTCCTTACATATAGCAACTAAAATTTTCAAGTATTATTAACTATTTTGCCTTATATATTGTATTTTTTTACCAGTCTTTTACAAGACGGATTTTGGGCTATCCAACTGTATTCCTGTGTATGAGATCTCAGGTTTGGGTTCAGCAATATATCTCCGGTATATTTCCGTTTTGGAATGCAAAGCTTTGAAACATCTATGCCGGTCCATAATTTCCTATCTACATCATACGAAACGATACATTAGCTTGAACACGATAATTCACATGTACCAAAAAAAAAATTGGAGAACAGTCCCTTTAAAATTCAACAATTCGACTGTGTAATAATATCTGACGGTACTCTATATGAGCACCCAGTAATAGGGTATCTAATTCCTGTATTGTCTACTCTTAAGAAGAATAAAGTTGTGGAGTGCAGAGAAGAAAATACCATAATTCGTAAATTATGATGAATAAATTATTTTATTATGTGTGCCAACGTTTCGCATGAGTTACTGGTCTGATGAAGGCTAGAGAGTTTTAGGACGTTTCAAAATCTCCACTATTTAGACTATATGGGGTCCGAAGCGGAACGCCCTTTTCGGCACTCGTACGTCCCTCAACTTTTTCTGATAAAAGCCTCCGAAAAAATAAGATAGCCAAGCAGGCTAACTTGTTTGCACTAACGGATCCAGGATTTAATTTTAGGGGGGCTTCAGCCAGAAAGATATTTTTTTGTATAAATATACTAGGATAATCACTACGGAAGAAAGAAAGAAACTACTTATATGAAATGGTCTGTAAGTCCTATTAACTGTAATTAGATGAACAATAATACTTTTAGAAATAATTTTTTTCATAAAACATGGTTATATTTTACCATTTTTTGGGGAGGAGAGGGGGCTTCAGCCCAAAAGTCCCTCCCTGCCCGTAAATCCACCCGTGCTCGTTTGCAATAAACGCGTTGCCTCGCAATCTGATAACTTGAAGATTATCAGTTCGAGTCCCTATGCCAGGAACATTTAACTCTGGCATTGATTCCCCATCCTTCTCCTCCCTGGTCCGGGAAAAATGTGAGAAAAGGGGAAGACAAAAAAAACCTCTAAACGACTTCCACTTAATTCCTTTTAAGATAAATTATATCTCCGCCATTATCATAGTGTATTCTTGTAGATTTTATCATGAATAATGTTTTTAGCTTAGTATTAATTAGTATAATTTGGGCTCACTGGATTCCGATGGGGTGTAATTATTTTAATTATCTGCCAAAAATTATTTATGTAAAACCGATTTCCGATGATAATATTGGATATTGCCAATCTCAGATTTGTAGCTTTAGATACTGATTAACTATTATTGTTATTACTGATGATTATCAGAGTGTTAAAAATAATGTTTTTTGTTTAGCTTGCTTCGTAAATACATAGAGGATTCGTTGGGCAACTCAGAAAATGAATCCGGAGTCTCTCAATTAGAGAAAGAACTGCAAAAGACGCTGAAACAAGAAGACGAAATAATTGTGGAAATAAGTAAACTAAACCACCTGGCCCACCTCCTGGCCCCCGAGATCTACGATGCCGATGGCAATATGATCACTTACGAGCCCAGTATTGAGGAGGAGCAGTTCTTCTTGGAAGAGGAATCTGGCATGGTGCAGAGTGTTGAAAATGAGGAAACTGCGTCTTCTAATCTCAAGGTCCGCAAACCTTCCAAGAGTCGTTCGGTGAAGGTAATTACACTCTAGAACAGTACTGGCTTTTCTTATGTATTTTGGTTCGTAAAGTCTAACCTTGACTTCAGACTTCCTACAGAATGGTCTTAATTCGTAACAAATTATAATAATTATTTTAACTGTGCCAATGGGTGAATCATATATTGACAATACCCATAACCTTAAGGACAAGGCTATCTCTGATTAGAAATAGTTATCTAAAAGACACCGACTGGACACAGGACTCATCCATAATCAAGACTTAAGAAAGAATAACAGATTTCAGCAAAAGGTCCCTTTTACTAAAGGATGAGAATATCAATCTTCAATAACCGCTCGATTGTTAATCAACTCGATCCCTTCGCAGTCCTCTTCCGACTTTCCTAATCCCCTCAACTATTCCTGGGTACACTGAACCCCATGTCGTCCTCTTGCCAAATCACTCTTGCAGTTACATTCTTATAGTCACACTCTCGCCAGGAGACCTAGATCCATGATCTTGTTGCCATACTCTTGTAGGAGACTTGGAGTGAACTCTTGTAGTCAACCCATAGTTATTATACTATTCAGTCGCTTAGATGCCCAATGTTTAAATAATATAAATAAAAATCCTCACTGCCTGCGATTCGTTAACGTACGATAACGGATAGGGATACGAAACGTATAAATAATTTTTATTAGTTAATTGTAATTTCATTAAATTATTTCAATATTTTTTATTTTGTTTTGCAGAAAGTTAAAGGAAAGGCCCCCGAATTATCTGCGGTTCCATCGAAAATAAATAAGAGTAAGCAAATTAAGAAGAAGAAATCAGCAGCTAAGGTGAGCTGAGATTGGCAGACATGTTTTGGAATAATACATTATACAATAATTATCATTTAAATTTAGATAGCTAATTTCATTAATCCCTCACTTCACCTACTTACGTGCCTCTACGAAGATTCTATATTTCTTCTGGGAATTTTCAATATTGGGAAAATATATATATACGTATATCGCAATATAGACATTTCCATTATCGATATATTGATATTTTTATCCGATATTTATTTATAACAATATTTCGAAGTTAAAACCTGGCTATCAAAACCGATATAAATAACATAATATTAAGAAAAATAGAAACATCTAGAAGGAAATTTGTCTCACTGGTAATCACAAAAAAATTAGATTATTTTGTTGATAACAAAATACTTGAGAAATATTGATTTATTTATTTTTTTTTAATTTTTAGTAGTTTGTTTTTTTGGTTCATAATGAAAAAGTAAATTATTTTGCAGAATTATTCAATTTTGATCTTCTTTGTTTATTTGTATGGAACAATTTAATTCATTTTTCTCTACATATTCTTAATAAGTCTTTTTAAATAATAAATGTTCATATTTATATAGATTTTAATTCGTTATTGTTTTACTTCCCTCCTTTATAATTTTTTTTATGTGATTTTTTTTTTTTCAATTTATATTACCTAGAAATAAATTTTTATTTTCGTTATTGGGATACTTTCATTTTTCGATTTTTTAAAAAGTATTATATAAATATTTAATTGTTATTATTAAAACTATTAAAAATTTAACATTCTACACTGTTGATTTTTTTCAATGATTAAATACATCAAGGCTCGAAATATCTAATTTATATTAATATTTTAATATATTTGATAACTATCAATACTATATAATTATAGTATAAATACTACATAATATTTACATCAATACTCTTTTTAAAGATTGGTAATCGAAATATCGTTATATATTTTCGATATTCTGATTTACTGATGCGATATATTTGAAAAATATCGATACGATGTACACACATCCCTGAGGCTGATATGATATCTCATAAAGTAGGGGTCGGCTAGTTATGGCTCTCGTTCTTATATTTCTTAAGATTGTCGAACACAATCCTAGAAACCATTTTTCTATGAAACGAGTTTGTAAATTTTGTATTATGGATGAGAATATTGTTAAGAATTTTTATTTTATGCTTTATTATATTTATATTGACTTAATGATTTTCTGTTAGATTTACTGTTCATATCGTCCACGCGCGGATCTACTGAGGGAGGGATATTTTTTTTTAAATCTAAAACCATGTTTTCTAAAAATGATCTCTAAAAATATTGTTTGTCTAACCACATTTAATAGTACTTCAAGAATCACTTAAACACCATTTCATAGGTACTTGGTTTCTTTCTTTCTTCCGAAGTAATTATCATAATATATACATAAAAAAAATCTTTGGGGCTGAAGTCCCCACCAAAATTAAAAACTGTATTGGTTAGTGTGATATCGTCCATAAGTGCTAGATTGAAATAGGTTTTAATGACAACTGCAATAAAATTACAAATAATTAGTAGTAGAGTAGAGTAGAGTAAGTAGCTGAAGAAAACAGTAATGATTTTCATTTATCTAAGTAGGAAATGAAAACTTGAGTACTTACAAGGCTTTAGATTAGCTTCTCAACAAATTTTTAATTGAAAGAAAAAAAGTTAGACTTTAAATTTTTTTGTTAGAGAGAGCTAAAACAACATTCTTCTTTTGGTCGTTACATTCTGCCACGTCTTCGGCAGGTGTTTTCCGCATGGCAACTCGGAGACTCCCTCCTATCTGCACCAGATACCTTGACCTTACCAAATTATGTAACGGTTAAATCAGATGGACCAAACATGTCCCTTCATGTCTTTCCGAATATCGGAGACTGCACTATGCTAAAAGTTTTCAAGATTCAGACATTATATACTTTCAACTAAATATTTTCGTTAGACTCGACGCCGGTTCGAATCCGGTCTGGATGGATTAAAAATTATTTCGTGAATAAATCTCACCCACGGAATGAATCCTGACATTCCCACTCTGGTTAAAATAGGTTTGGTTTTACCTCTACAACAACTCCACTTACATCAAAAATAGCGAGTTAGGAGTATCGGAATATATATATATATATATATATATTCCCCCTAACTCTAAGGGGTAGAGGCTAAATAAATAAATAAAATTATTTATTTAGCCTCTACCCCTTAGAGTCATTGGTTAATGTCTACATTTTATAGTCCGTGGTACAGACCCATTTTTATTAAATTATTAACATCCGATGAAACTTCGTAAATAGCTTCATCTCATCGTAACCTACGAATATTTGATTTATGAAAATTCTCGGAATTGGGACAAACTTTGTCTATTTAATTAGGTACTAAAATCGTTTAAATATCCATTCGCTTTCCAGTTGATTCGTAAGGTAAGTTGAGGACAAAAGCAAGAAAAAAGATGGCCTTCAAAAAATATTGGGCCGCTTGGCGTGACCTACATCCCCAAATTTCAAAATAACGAGGCTAAGCGGCCAAATGTTTTTGTAGGCCACCTTTTTTATTGATTAAGTTATCAAATTATCTTACGATCCAAGTGGAAAGGAAATGGGTATTGACGAGTTTTTAACACCTAATAAAATAGACATTGCCGACCTCCATATTGAAAATGAGATGAAGCTATTAACGAAATTTCAGACAGATGTTAATAATTTGATAAAAAGGGATCATTGTTATTCTATGATACGGACTATTATATTCTATAATAAAAATCTATTTCAATAAACTGTTTCAATATTTCTTTTTTCTAATCTTGCTGGATTTCTTCCATTTCCATTCCAATTTGTAGATTTTCCCTTAGGGCAGTGTAGCTACTCCATTCTAACAATTTAATAATAACAGTTCTCGTTATTTGGCAATGTGTAATAGTTGGCTTCTAATCCTCAAAGGAGGTATCCATGAGAAAACTCACAAATAGGAATTATATGCTATAAATTTATTCAGATTAGAAACCGGTAAAAAATATTTTTATTGCTTGGCAGTACATTTTATAGCGGTTGAAATAAATTTTATTTGGAGATTCGAGTTGATTTTACCTTATGTCACACCATAACTTCGCAGGATGCGAACATTTCAAGAAGGAAGATGGAGTCCTTCAGATTTATATATAGCTTGATGTGCTGACAAACTGTTAATTTTATTTTACTGCATATTTTTGTCAAGAATAATTACACATTTTAGAGGGTAACAATTTTTATTTATGTAGCACTGTTTGTATGACATCTACAAATGTTATAAGAGGTTTAATATAATAAGAATACATTAGAACATTTCGCTTCTCACTATAATCTGGCAACAGAAAAATAATGATTGACTGTGATAAATCGTGATTTATCAGTTATTATTGGCAGTCCTCATACTAGCGAAACTATAAGGAATAGCCGATAGGCTTATTAGGAAAAAAAAGAATGTTGTGTCTGCCTGAACGTATTTAACAGTGTTGCTAACGCGACATTGATGCTAGTAAAGGTCTTCATTACTTTTTAACAGACAAAAGTAACTATTTTTATTGTATTAATTAATAGTTGTATTTATACATGTACAGATAGAGTAATGAACGTTTTTCATCGTTATTCGCAAAACATTAGTTGTTAACTATCACTGATTAAAGTACGAATATATAGCATGTATCAGAATGCTATTGGCACGGACAAACTTTCAAGACATTTCATCATATTCTTTACGACTGCCCTATCTTTGACAGTAAATGGCATAATTTAATAAGAAGCATTGTTCTCCACGGCGATAACCGGTCGCTAAGAGAAAAGGATATTATAAAAAAATACAACAAGGAGATGAAGAAATTTACCCTGGAAGTTGATCACTAACTCCTCCAAAAAGACTGTAGTGATTAATAATTTTACTGTCGATATTATGGTTTTTAATTAAGTATTTTCTGTTTTAGTTTCTTTATAATTATCTTATGTATTGTTTATTTTATTCATTAAGGAAAATTGAACTTTATAATGTATAACTTTTATAGGAATTGTAATACTTTAATTGATACATGTATTACGAGTAATTCATGGAGTATGTAGAATTAACAATACACGGCCTTCGTACAATGATCCTGTACGAAGGAAAGATATAAAAAAAAAACGCAATAAAATATCCTTTTTTTTGTTGGTTTTTTTTAGTTCATTTTTTAAAGGTATAATACTTATAATTTCGGTGCTGATACAAATTAGTATTCAACTAATGAATCATCGAAGGCGAATATTTTCGAGGGCTGGGCAGATATATGATAATTAGCTGTTAATTTTACCTTCGATGTGTTGAATACCGCAACATCAACTTATAATTAATTTGCCACTTATAGGATATGTTTTGAATAACAATAAAATATTTTATATGCAAATGGCATGTCGCTAGTTTTCATGATTAATGGATCTTGCATTACCAATAGCCCTTTTCCCGGGAAGGATAAACTATTGTCAACGAGCCAATGAGGGTCGGTCTTTTCAAATTCGTTAAATGCTAATATATATATATATATATATATATATATATATATATATATATATATATATATATATATATGTGTGTGTGTCTAAGTATATATATATATGTGTGTCTAAGTATCAATAAAAAATATCCATATTTTTAATCTTTAGAAGAAGAGGAAGCGGGTTAACATTTTATTAGTAGAGTAATAATTTTTTTATATTTTAATGTACATGACTATATACAACATTTAGCTTTCGTAAGTTTTTTTCTTATCCATAACTAATTAAATAAAAAAATTTCCGAGCGTTTCTCACCCAGGAAAAAAGTGAACTCATATCAAGGCCGACATAACATTCTACAAGTACACCGCTCAATGACAAAACATGATCTCCATGTTAAAAGAAAACGCATGTCAGTAATCGCAAGACATTTGGCGTCATATAACATAAAAGCTACGAATAATACCATTACAGTTGACCAATTAAAGAATTAGGGAGTCCATGGGCGACTG